TGTTTTGCACTGTTTTACCCTTTAGCTTTTTATTGATGTATTGCCGTTAATTTGTGCATTGACCGAGAATGAAGCAAACTCTATGGGGACATTCTTGCAAATTTTGCTCAGCCATGCGCAACGCTGGCATTCGGATAATGCAATATTTGAGAAGGTTGGAGCTCTTCAATTTCTCACACTAGGTTTTTCTCGGTATTTTTACTACAAATTTCTCGTGGCTAGGAGTGTGAAGGGTTTCCTGGCTTGGTTTCCAAGACGCGACAAGATAAGACCACAGAAAGCGTTAACTACGAAAGTTTTCGACGGCTTTGTTTCAAGTGGCAGGTAAGCTTGCATATACTTCTGCTTGTGTTTTAGTTTATGAATTTTCCAACAGATGCGATTACACACTGCATTCAACTCTGTGCTGTCGGTGGAGAATAATGAGTATGTACAAGTCAGGAATTGTTTGGTGGTCATGACAAAGGTGGGTCGAATTTGTTGAAGTACATTCTTTGAATTGCTCGGATGATGTTTGCCAAGGTACAACTTTTTTGAAACATTTTGCACGAATTGTCGTTCTTTGTTCCGTTTTCTAAATTCCTTTATAGTTGGCCCCTTGCTTCCCTCTTCTGAAAGATCTTGTCGAGAGCATAGAAAAAATGGTTGAAAGGGTAGGTTCTTGTGTGTTTTCGCTGATGTGGATTTTATCTTAATCTCTCCTTCAGCTCCGTGATCACGAAAAGGGCAAGCGAGATGAACTGTCACTCAAAGCTGCAAGCTATCTTGTACGCCTGAAAATGCGAAATGTCACTGTCTACGAAGGATTGCAATTCCATGTAAGTATTTTTCAAAGAATCTAGTCGCTGGAGAATGTTCGCTATTTTTTAGCGTCCAATCGTAAAGCATACAAAAGTAAGTCCGAATCTCGACCGAAAAAGGCTTGCCACGGTAAGCCATATTTGGTCACATTTGATGATTAGACTCCCTCTGTTTAGGCAGGCGCCGTTGCTGATGCGAAGAAGAAAATCCGAGCAGAAAAGCCAAAAGTGGTAGAGAAGAAGGAACAAGAGCTGAAAACTCCGGAAAAGAAGGAGGTCCCGAAGGTTGAGAGAAAGGAGAAGAAGGAGGAAGTACTACCAACAAAGGAAGCAAAGAAGGAGGTGCCCGAACGAGAGGAGGGTGAAGTTCCACCAAGTCCACCTCATAAAAAGGTACAACCATTTTGTGCAAGATCCTTGTTTTAGTGCAAAGTGTTTTTCTAGATTCGTGTACAGTCCGTGGAGAAAGCGGCGAATGGTGTAACAAGAGATCGCAAAGAAGCAGTTCCTGCCAAAGAGGTGAAAGAGGAGAAGAAAGATCATAAAGAAACAAAGGAAAGGAGAGAAGACGAAAGAAGAGAAACGAGAGCTAAGGAGAAACGGGATCCAACACCATCAAGGAAAGAGGATGTACCCAAAGATGTAACATCACCCAAACGAAGGGATCGAGGACTTGACGACGAAGAAGTTGGACCTGCGGTGAGTGTCGCGCTAATTTAGCCAGTGTTGCTAACTTTGTGTCTGTAGCTCCCACCATCGATGAGAGAAGAACGAACAGATGATCGAAAGCGTGACCAAAAGACGCACAAGCGATCGGCTAGAGACGAAGAGCAGAATGGGTTAGTTCAAGCCCTTGGATGAGAATGTTTCTTCACCATTCTACTTTCGTTGTAAAGACAATGTAGTTGTAACATTTCTGAAGAATTTTGTGAGGATGCGGGGGAAGTTCCTGTTCAGCGAAGGGTGGCGTTGAGCCCGCCATCTGAAAATTTCGCAGCCTTTTTTTTCAAAAAAAGGGCGTAGCTGCCGTCGAAAACTTTTCCAAAATTATTCAGTTCGAAAATTAATCTGTTGTTAACACATAAAGACGAGTGCGCAACTTCATAACTCGTGACAGACCCCCCTCCCCCGTTCTGTCACAGCTGTGTAGTCTTGTTACAATTATTCTGAATATACAAATGACCACGTTGTGACGTTTTGAGATCTCATTGGAATATAATTTTTTTTTTAAATGTAAAACTTCTAACATCTTTGAAGGCACTGGATCGGCAGAATGGGCCCTTCTCAGATTTTGCTGAATTTAATTAGCAGGTTTTTCAAGTACACTGTAGCCCAAACCCGCCTGCCAGTTCATGCGCTAAGTCCTGAAAAATGCGCTTCAAAGCTCTACCAGCCCCACCCACTCGGTGAAAATGGGCAGGACTGGTGGAGTTTTGAAGCGCATTTTTGAGGACTTAGCGCATGAATTGGGAGGTGAGGTTTAGGCTACAGTGTACTTGGGGGGTCTACAACCTAAATCTACCAGAATTCGAGAAGGGTCCATTCTGCCGATCCACTGCTTTTAAAGGAGAATGTAGGCGAACTAACTAACTCTCGAAATCAGCAATCTGATGACTGTTTTAGGCATTCCAAGGTCCCACGAAAAGATCGTGAACAAATCGAGTCAAGACGTAAGCATTTTTTGTCACCAATTCTTAACACAGAATTAATTGCCCATTCTAGTAACCCGACCGGTATCCCGTGAGCGTAGAGTCCCATCACCAATTCGAGAAAAAGACAGGCGGGAAGACAAGAAGGACAGGAGAAAAGATAGGTAAGCATAAGTAAATCATTTCTTTGACGAGACCTGTTAATTCAAATAATCATTCTTTATTCAAAGAAATTTTCTTTCAGTAAACCTTTGCGGAAGTAGTGTAGTATATGTATAGTCATCGACATAGGATTCAAGCATCAGGCTCCACTCCCACCTGTGTTACCTCGAAACCTGTTATTATCTGTTTGTTACGTGTTGTGTATCTACAGAATCTAATGAAATATAATGGATCTCTTCGTGTAATGAATGCCTCATTTCCTTTCATTCAACACTGATTCTGATATATCTTCATATAATTTGTTTATGTACTACGATAGATTCTTTTTATCGGTGGTGAATATAAAATTTCTATGCAATTCGCATTATTGTGCTGTGTTGAAAATCAGAATAAGTTATGTATTTTTGATTACATCACAAGTAAGTTTAGTGTGAGGGTAGATGAAATTGACGAGAAAATCGAAATGGTTGGAGAAAATATGTCGTCTCCCCTTCCAAGCGTGTGCGTATCACATGTATCACATAAAATTAGTTTTACTTTGGGCATAGTTCATGCGATCTTAACGCCTCGCGATTCTCCCAACAAGACAGTTGTTGGAGCTCATTGCATGCGGATTCTCCTGCATTTCGGTTGTGATAGTTTTCCGATACGACTGATCGTGACCAACTATCACATTTGAAAAGCGAGGTGATTGGCGTGCTTGTAAATGGACTTGTAACAGTTGTCTTGTCGGGGGAATCGTGAGGACGACGAACTCGTTTAAACTATGCCCGAGGCCTTTGGTGTTGAATAGTTGACTCCAACTTTAACCAAATCCCATTCCCCAAATCAAGGATTGCAAATCAATAGTGTAATGGTATATATAACCAAGCGACAATATTCTCGTCCTTTTTTGCAAAAGAAGCGTTTGCCGAATCTCTCTCAGGTTTGATTAGTGAAATTTGAGAAGAGGAAATGAAGTCGACCAGCATTCGAGCCGTTTGGATTATATACCCAAAAAAACTATATGCCCAAAAATTACTTCTGGGGCGGGATTTGTCAATCTTGCAATCGTGATCGAGCGCTGTTTCACCGTTGGGCTCCCGATTGGGAGGATGTGAGCTCGTTTATAACAGTAAAAAAGCGCCCGATAATGCTAACTTCTAACTTCGTCATTATCTCCAGACTTCTGATGCAGTCACGTGTCACCAATGAAGTCTTCAATGATGGGCAGAATAGCAAAATCTTCGCATTAATGCCTCTGACCTCTAGATTTACCTTTGTAATGTAAATTCCATATTCAGCCATGATTGCCGAAAGCATTTCGCTTATGGTGTAAAGTGCTTGCGAGGTAGTCTTTTCCATGGGCGTTCACCGCACGCAGAGAATGCGGACATATCGGCGTCTCTTTGATCGAACCGCTCTTTCGTTTCTCTCACCATCTGCTGCCTCTCTCAGGCACGGTTATCTTTCTCGGAAGCAACGGCGTCCAGTCTCCGCGTGTCATGACTAGCCTATATGTCTTTTGTGATAGATTGATCCAACCGTTTGAGGACCACATACGTAAGCGAATAATTCCTGTGTCTAAGTTGTCAATAATTTTTCTTGTTTCAATTCTCAAATATTCGTCTTCCATTTTCTGTCATGCTGGGGCCTTTCTTGGTTCTGATTACAGATGTGAAGTCCAAAATGTGCAAAACTCACCAGAAAACCCGATTTTGGGAGCCCTATCCTTAAAGGCAGTGGGTCGGCAGAATGAGACCCGTGGCAAAACACGGTCACAGGGTAGAGGCCCCTATATGGAACCTATCGGCCAAAGTCCGATCTTTTTCTGCCACTTCTAACCCCCGAAATTTCAACGCAGAAGCAGCGCTCATCTCCCGTATTTTCTGGCCCCGCCCATCCCATGGTGGGCGGGGCCAGAGAATACATGGCCGATAGGTTCCATACGGGGGCTTCTACCCTGTGACCTTGTTTGTCACGGGTCTCATTCTGCCGATCTACTGCCTTCAAATACAGGCGAATTTCAACATGTAGGTGGGCGGAGCTGGCTAGGGCGGGCGTGGCTTAGCACTCTCGCAGGTCCCGGGTCTATTTTTTCATACAGAGGCCGCATTGGAGGACCGATCCAACGCAGATGTACTAGGGCATTCTTGAAATTCAGGTACTGTGATCGGTGGAGCATAGATATGTTTGGAAACTCCTTCAACTGAAATTGTAACCAAGTCATGAAATGAGCACATTTCTTTTCCATCATTATTGTCTTCATATTCGATGTATACAAATGCATGCAACAGCTTTGCAAAATAATCATATAATCAATATAGAATGAGTTATTCAAACATTAGTAATTTTACAATTCAATTGAGAGCACCATCATATCACAGGTCTAAGTGTAAAGAAATATTTTGGAAATCAGCAGTCGTCTTTTTGAAGTGAAAATCTCCGTCTCTATGCATTTGCTTGATTGAGCTAGATTGGCGGTAGGAGAAGAACTGAAATTGAATTGTATCAAACTGAGTCAGTGTTGAGAAGTTTAATTGGGCCCCACTTACCTAAATCCGCCTGAAATCACCCTTAAATATTCTTGTGAGCGTTTTCTTGAATTGTTGATTGGCCATCGCATAGCAGAACGGATTTAGCGGTGAATTCATATAGCATAGATAATAACTGATTGAATATACTAGGTTGAATAGTGGTGAGTTCTTGCAGCTTTCGCAGAAGCCATAAACGGTAGCCATAACGTAGAATGGTGTCCACAATATGATGAAGGCTCCAAGAATAAAGGTGATAGTACGAAGAGCTTTTCGCGCACGATTCTCCGATCGTGACTTGTACACCTGCTGAAATATACATTTTTCACTATAAAGGATGCTGCTTGCATTTTCCCAAAAGTGACACCACCGACGATTTGTGTTCATGTGTTCTTATGTGACAGAAAAATTTTCAAAGTAGAAAAAAAGTAAAAAGTCTCAAGCACAAGTTATCGGTGGCTGTTACATTAGAAAAGTAAAAAACAGGAAAAAGCATAAGCATCTCTCTAAAAGCTGTGCAGATAATATTCTTCGGGACTGGTGAGCAAACTAGGCTGTTAGGAATTAATCTAAATGTTAAGTAACTGAAAATTAGCAAAAGCTCGGGTATGAATTATTAGCGATCACTGGCACATGTGTACCTTGAACGGATTCAGTGCTTGTAAGACACCCTGAAATTTTCACAACAAACTATGTTAACTTAGTGTATCAAGCAGAAGCGAAACTACGGTTAGCCTGACATGCGTAGTTACACATAAAGCCGTTATTACTATTCAGCTTTGCAAGAAATTAGTAGCTTTTCATAAGATGCTAATTTTAGTTTATGGCCCTTCACTGGCAGAAGACTACTTATAAGGATACTTACAGAAGGATAAAGGGTCATAAAGTAACATTAACAGTCATCAGTTTTAGGCAGAGATGGCTAAAAGCAACCATATTCGAGGCTCTCAAGTGGATAAAAAACAACGTTCAAAGTACTAATTTTTGAAGACTTGAAGAAAGTGCAATCAGTATTTTGGTGCAGCCTATTATTTTCTCTATTTTGACTTTTTTCGGTTGTACCCTAATTTCACGCGTACAAGGCGCGGGGGTTTCTTCTAAAATCCATCAGCCCAAACACGCCACAACATATGCGCTAAAAACTTGACTTTGAAGTTAAATGACTAATCCAGGAGTTCATTCTGCGCTAAACAACTGCCTTATTTCACCAATGAGGGCCCGTCCGTTTTTTCTATGCAAAAGACTCTTAGCACTAAAGAATTGTTCCCTTTTCTTGCTTCCTAATTCTGACTCTAACAACCATGAGAATCTTTATGTCCATCTCTGCAGAGAACTGATAAAGCTGCCATGGAGCCATTTATGTCAATGCATGGTATGTGAGTTGCTAAATTTATCATGAGTGATTCTATTTGCTTTTTTTGGCACAAATCGCTCAATGACACTTGTAGCTAACAAACAATAAGTGCTGCTCTAATAAAGCAGATCATCAATACCTCTCGTGGCCTAAATGGATTCAATGCTTGCAATACACCCTGAAAACGATAGAATACAGATATACAGATAGACAACAAAATTATCGCACAGATAGATTTAAGTACAACAATGACGTGCATCTCAGTCAGGGAGGGCAAGAGTTAGGCAACAGAACGTGCAAAACGCAATCAACGTAAGGCCGGTGAGTCGAAACTATGCGCCATTTTTTTTTTGATGGCGTCCAGTAATGTATCGGCCCCGACCCCCACCCGCCTGTTTTTGGCGCCGGAGACGTTTTGCATGGGGAGTTTTCTAGGGTGCAAAAAATCGGGTTTGTCGCCTAACGCCCCTCAGTCAGATTGCATAAAATGACATACTCAGACATTCGTGGTTAACACGCGCACTAGATCCACCCACAAAACGAAGTAGCGCGGAAAAATGAGTACTGCTGCGGCATACGCGCTTTTGCTGCGACGTTCGGGCTAATCCCGAAACTAAAAAGGAGGCGAGAGAAATTCATAACACCCGTCGCGACTCCCGAAAATGGTCTTGGTCGCGATTAGTCGTCTAAAATGGTCTTGTCTGTAATCACGCATGCTTCGCCCTGGGCGTCTAAATTCAAAAAGGAAGTTGCGCCGTTGTGTTAGTGGTGGAGCGGGCTGATTCTTCCGGTGAATCTTGCATCTAATTTTTGATATTTGTTGTTCGAATCTGTCTTATTGAAGTAGTCTAATACTTTGCTGGTTTAGTGAGAATTTGCTTTCATTCTGTCTTAAGAGTCGCTGTTTCTTTGTTTTTTGTTACGCATTGAAGGGTTAAAGATCAGGATTCTTTTTTGTCCCACCTTAACGATTGACTTCTTGATTTGAGTGTTCGATAAGAGTTTCTTCCTCGTCACAGCATTTTCCAGTTCTTCTCAGCGTTCGTTCGCGTTTCTTCATCCTCTCGTTAGGAAGTGTATGACAAATGCGTTCAAACCCTCTATTCAGGTAGCAATTCGCATGCTTGACCCGTTGGGAGGCAAGCAACAGAGTTCGCCCTGGTTCGATAGTCTCTCCACATCGTCGACCGCAATGAACAGTAACTCGTCGGGTTCATCCGGATCACCACTGAGTCTCTCGTCTCATCTCAGAGACAGCTCAGACGCACTCTCATGTCCCACATGGCTCTTCAATAGTCAGGTTGGTTCGTATTTTTGAACATTGCAAGACTTTTTTGTAGTATCTCTGATCACAATGCGAAACTCTTAGCATTAATTCGATTTTTCTTCTCTATGACTTCTTTTTTTGCTCTTTGTTGCCTATTCTCTATCACCTGTCCATTGTGCATCCCTATGCTGAATTCTATAATTTCATGTACATGCTTTCATGTACCCTTCCAATATATATATATATATATATCTTCAATTTAGGGGAGACCTGCGCGCTTATTCGTTCAAGCCGGAAAAGACCGAACTCGTTCCCCCATCGGTAATATATATTACATCCTTTCTATGCACATCAGCCTTAAGATGGCATCTTTATTTCAGAAAAAACGCACTTGTACAGTTGCAGTGGCCACCGATCCGGTCCAGGTCAGGGATGAGGACAAAGAATATGAACTCGAAACACTTTGAAGCAATTCTATCACACATAAGCATTACTATTACTTTTGTTTGTTCCAACATGTTCTCATTATCACCGCACTAATTAGAAGAATTTCCATTTTTATATCCCATTCCACTTATGATGCTCTTGCTTATTTGTTTACATTCCTATAACTTGGAGATCCGAGGCCGTATTCAATATTCATACCTTAAGGTAAATCCTACTTCCAGGTAGTTTAATCACTCATTATGATAAGTTTTATTACTGATAATGACTGATAAAACTACCTGGAAGTAGGATTTACCTCAAGGTATCAATGATGAATACGGCCTCTCAATTCACTTAGCCACTATTATACTCCCATTCCATTTATTATGGTGATCTTGCTTTGATTCGTTTGCACTCTAACTTCAAGATCTAAATTCACTTATTTTGTGTGTGCACTCGTTATGAGAAGTTCTCAATAAACATCTATTTGAGTACTGATAAGAGAATAAACTTGAACACATGGGTATTCAATGCATTTTAAAAAATAACTAAGAGAACAGCGATGAGCGCAAGTTGCGCCGTAATTGAATTCTCAACATTACCGGGTCTTGCGCTAAAGCTCAATTTTTCTCCCGGTCTGCGTGAGTGCGGGAGAATAACTTGTCTCGTGCAGCAATCTCCCGATCACTACGCCGGTGCCCCGAAATTCTCGCGACTGTTTTAATTAAGTCCCGCAGTCATTCTGTCGCTACATAACTTTTCTTTGCGCGCGAGTCAACCACGAGTGTCTGAGTATGGTACTTACCGTCTTTTGTTTCGGCTTTTTCCTTCGCAATGAGCGACTGCGTACGGCTGTCAACAGGCGACCAACGGCACCTTCCACGGTCTTCACACTTTCAACTCGAGATACAGCAATAAGAGGCAGGTTTGAATCATCAGGTGATTCGACCCCAGTTGTGGTCGTTGCTGGTGCTGTTGCCGTAGATGTACTTTGCGTCTGGAAATATACTAAATCCACTTCATCTTTCAAGGGGCCCCAGGCTGTAAATGAGCAATTTGAAGGCAGTAGAAGCAAATATGAGTGGCGGTCTATACGGATTCTGACAGAAAGGCCTCATACCCACTGCTAGGCAATTGCTATAATCCATTCTTTGACGAGAAATTGAATTCTATACTTTCGCCCGATACCGTACTTTGGGGGGCTAAACGTAAAAGTACGGTATTGGACGAGAGCTCACACTCAATTTCTTGCACAAATAAATCATATGAGCTGCATTTTGAGCAGTTCTAACATGAGAAGCACGATATTTTTAGATTTGCATGGAAACGTATTTAAATGCTTATAGAATTGGGGTAATATTGACGACAATGTGATCCACATAGTGGGTACGCAGTGACTGCTACGTGGGACAATGTGATCCATATGGTGGGTCATGGCTCAAATTCTGTTAAGATAACTACTTTTGTGGGATACATTCATTTTAAAAGCTCTCCTACGCTCTGAACCTAGCAAATACTTCCGTGTTTCTGGGCTTTGTCTTAGAATTACTGTAGGTACACTGTGATTGACAATCTGCGTAATTTTAGCTAAAAATTCTCAACTCATTCGTAAAAGGCATTCTCCCACAGGGCGGACAACCAAAAATGCGCGTTGTCGTCAAAGTGATAAGAAAGGGTATGGGGCCGAAACTTAAAGATATGAGTAACTAAGAGCATAAACTTCAAGCAGGGTTCACAAAATCGAAACCATAGATTTCGCATCTTCAAAAGCGCACAGTACGAAATAAGGGATCTAGGATGGTGGAAAAAGTGGAAGCGGAGTTCAAAGAATTCTAGAAGAAAAATCCTACCGGTTGCTGGTATCTCAGCTGCTTTTTAGGTGAATCTGCACGCGCAGCTTGCTGGGACTTCATTTGTGGTGTAGTTGTTGATTCTTGCTTCTTATTGTTCCCGGCATGGTTTCCGTGCCCATTGCGCTTTTGTGGTTCAATAATCTCCACTTCTTCTTCTTCTTGTTCTTCTTGATGTTCATCTTCTGGCTCTTCAGATGCTTTACTTGGTTCAGACACTGACATTGATTTCACTTCGGGAATGACCTCGATTCGAACTTCTTTTTGACTTTTTGGCGAGTCAGCCAGTCGTTTCACCGACTGTAGACGTCGCAGATCATCATTTCCTACTATGGAGGAGGCGCTGTCGGCATCGATAAATTGGAAAGCAAGTTCGGTACTGGAATAAATCATGTTACATTCTGATGCTTAAGAATGGGCATAAAACTTACTTGTAGAGATGCAAATCATTGTATTCAGAGGTTGAAAGTTCGGGGCTGACACAAGGAGCAGTGCTTTCTCGTTCAAGCAGTGCAGACGGCTGTTGATAGTAAAAATGATAACTCTTCTGCGAATCGTACGGAGGCGAAAATGACCGATTTGCGGTCCGGGTCGTCGTTATATCATCGTTGGTTGTGCGCAAGATCTCGTAAGCCAGAGGTGACGACGGCGTTGACACCGATGTCGCCACTTGAATTGGCAACGCTTCAGAGGAGCTATGAACGGAGATGGAGCCGCTACGTAAGGATCCAGATCGTTGTGAAAGTGAGTTTTGGGAGGGAGAGTTGTGGGAGAGAGAAGAGTGTAGGGAGGGGGAATGCTGTGATGAATGTGAAAGCACCGGTTCACTATGTACAGAATGTGAACGTTGTGGTGACAGGCTTCTTGGGGAATGATTCAAGGGATTTAAGGGATTTGGGGATTTCGTTTCAGGAACATCGTCAGTTAAGGGGTTCACCAGCATTTCGTCAGGTGCATTTTGCGCCAGAGTCGGGTCGCAGGCAATCGGATCTGACGGATCTATATCAAAAGCGATTGACTCGAGTACTTTGGCATCACCAAGGATTTCCTCAACTGGTGACGAAGCTGGTGCAGGTGGTTCATTGCTGCAAAAGCATGTATTACGTCCCATATGCAATACCGCTCAAGATTCGTCAAAAAATACACTGAACTCCGCTAGAGTTAGAGTTCACCGAAGTCCGCGTCGCGTCGCGTTATCCTGGTTATAATGGACGAATTCTGAGGCACCATTGGACTCAGCTCGGCTAAGCGCATCTTCGATATATAGAAATGCTGGTTTAGATACGGTATGCGGACATTTTAGATTTCTGCCCGCGGTACGCTACTCAATGAATAAGCACACTGAGTGACCTAAAGTGAGCAAAAATCTGAAAGGATTCGTGTAAAAGGGCTTCCCTGCGCCCACCATATCCAAGTACGTACTTCTATGTATACATCGGGAGATACGCCTCACCGAGCTCAGTCGAAAGATGCCCTTGGATTTAGAATTCATTCACTTTGAACCAAGGTATGGCGATACGACGCGAATTTTGGTGAACTTTGGTAAAATTCGCTTTTTTGACGAATTATGAGCGGTAATTATCTTCGAGTTAGAAAACTCACCTCGTTGGATTACAATTATTAGGGCAGTGGTTTACATAATTGTTGTGAATGGTCATAGTATTCCGCACAATAGAAGGACGAGATGGTGACGACTCCTGCGCTGATGACGCTGGTTGTTTGAAACATCTGAAATTTTAGGCACATTCATGCATTCGTCCCTCACAGCCTTAGTGTTTGTTATGTGACACTTTGTACTATATCTAGTTAGCACCCGCAGGGCAACGAGAGTGCCATTTTGATTGAATTTTCCGGATTTTGCCGGCGGCAGCCTTGATACCGACAGATATATAAGAACGAGTTATGCGCCAAGCACGGCATGACTAGCTTGCAGCAATCAAGCACTACTTCAGTCGAGCACTTAGGCGACGGACGGCGAGAAGCGTTTACGATGACGTCATCGCTGATTCAGCTTTGTTTATGTGCAATTGCACACGTCAATAATTTAGGGGATGGAATAAAATATTATAAAGGTTTCACATCAGAAAATGCGTGGGAAATCTAGCATTTCATGCCCCACTGTGACTGCTTTATAAAGTAGTGTTCGTTCAAGCATGGTTATACCACCGCCTTGCCAGTGTAAGAAAAGCTTTGCAATACGTAGATGACTACAAGCCAGGCAACTCTAAGTGGACTTGTTGGCTTGGCTTGTTCCGATTCTGAAGAAGACGCTAAGCGCTGGATAGACGACTTTTTTGGGACCCGACTTGCTGAGTTTGGGACAAACGAAATTGAAAATTTTGAGGCAAGGTGGCAGAAGTGCGCAACAACGGAAAACACACCTTCGACTGAGTTTTGACATTTTCTCAATTTGGTGATTTCTGAATACGCTACGATCGTGAACGACCCAACATTTTTCCCTTTGTCCCTATTTTCATACGAACAGTCGTGAGCGTTCGTTGCATCTAACCAAAAAGTCTCCTGAGACGGCTAAAATAAAAGCCGACTGCATTCCTATACTTTTTATCGGATTGTCGATGAAGATGTCTTGAAGTGCACGGAAATGGCAAATTGAGTTGAAGATTGTTTGAGTGGCGGTTCAGACAGACAGCGGTTTTTGCATTCGAACAATGTTTGCGAATTGATTGTAAATTCAACGAAAAGATTCTACTTGTGTGAACTCTCATTTCGGGCACATGGAATCAACATTTTCAACAATAAGATACTCAGCAGATTAATATGGAAACCTAATTGCGTAGCTAGAGGAGGTTTTTCAAACTAATCCTCTATTAAGAGCCTCCGAACAATTCAAGTTTTTGCATATGTAACCCAATATCACATTTTTCTGTCTATGGTCAGAAAATCGAGTTCTACTATGGAACATTTGTTAAGGAAACTGGTATGTTGGCTTTACCACCTCCCCTTTCGTTTCTGATCATTGCTTAGCATTTACGACGGGGATTGCTTTTGAAAAGAGAAGCAAAACTTATTCTAATAAAGATAGAGGAACATTCCCAAACCCATGGCTGTTTATTTTGTTCAAACTCCTTTTGTTGATCGTTACCAAAGTTTTCTTTTATGACTTCTTGAGACCCTTCTTTCCATAAAATAATCAAGGAACAATTCATGCGCAATATCTTTACTTTTTTACACTTTCGTTCAACAAGGAACGTCCCTCTTAACCAATGCCTTCGCAAAACTTTGTGCTGCCCTTAGGTTAAGTTAGTGCCAATCCTAGCGAATCTATTTTCTGTCGGTCACAGCAAAGGCCGTGTGTGCTTTTCGTTTGATAGATGACCGATGAGAAGGAAAGATGAATTGCGGAGCGCATAAGATAGAATCCCAGTCACTTCCCCTGAGGCGTCGCATCAACAAACAAATCTGAAGTGGCCCCTCTGAGAGCAAAGTGAGCATAGCTGAGCAGCGCAGAGACGTGAACGAATGTGAGAGATTGAGAACGAATAGCGAAAGCTTTGGAATATGTGCGAGAGTCGAAGCAATTAGCAACGAAGTTATAAATCAAAACCGTAACGTTTTCTTGGCTGCTTATTCTAAGCACCGTCATTATTTCCACTTCTATCTCTTTCCAGCAGTTTATAGGACATTTTGGAGGGTGAATCTCATTTGTTCCTCATTTACAGGCTCTGAGACGAGTCGACCGAAACGTAAGCCAAATAAAATTTATACTAATTTTGGTGAAGGCTTAACTACTTCAAGAAACGGTTTTAGAAACTGTTTCTTGGTTATAAAAGACAAGGATAAAGATGAGATTTCCAGCCAAACTTTTCTGAGTCTTCTCTTTTAATTCATAGGTTCTAGCGGGTTTTACTTGGGTTACTATACCAGCGAAGGCCTTCTCGATGCGTTAGTGTGAACCTTCCTTACTATGCGGTATTGAACACAAAGATCATGCAAATTTGCTTTTACTTGTAACTAATTACGATATTTTTTAAAGCTTAGAAATTGCAATGGACTTGTAAATCAAATTTTTCAGGATCAAAGCACGCAGAGAATCTTGAAACCAGCTGAAAATTTTCTTCGGATGACGTAGCTAACATCATGCCACTCCATAAAAAAATCTTTTTTCCCGCTCTCTCATCCCCGAAAATATTCTCGGATTGCCAGTTTTGAGTACTGACTGAGAACATTGGTCAAACCATTACCCAAGTGGTAGTCAAATATTTCATTTGTGGCTAAGAAATCCAACTCTGAAGTGCCGCTCGGAATGCTCTGTCGTAGCTGACCAATCAGCGCATCGTACCAGGAAGGAGCACGCTGATTGGTCGTCTCGGAATAACAATTTGACCAAGATTACGATTTAGGATTCGACCACGAAGAAATCTAAGCTCTCTTTGGGCTTCTCAATCACTTTTCATGCATAAAGCCGGTTACTCAGATTTGGCTGTCGTGCCTTTCTATCTCCTTCTGTGCCCGCATGATAAAGCCTTAACTCGTTAACTGACGATCATAGGCGTCCATTATAACCAAATTGGGCAGGCTTGTCAAATAATTAATGTCCACTTATTTTGGCGATTTGGCACCGTTAGTTTTAGGTTGACGAACTACGAGAGGACCTAAGTAATACAGCGACCTATCAACCCACTATGCGCATTTAGAATCTTGCAGAAGATATATCAGAACGAGGGTAAAAAAACTCACAGTAAATTAATTGGCACATCTAGCAAGGTCAAGACAGCTTTATGATTTGTCGAGGTTTTTGGTTGATAACTTCTATTCAAGTTGTTACTCTACTCTAGTATAATACATGCATAATCACAAACTTACTTGCTACTAGAGCTCGTGTCGTTATCATTTGGTGAATCAGAACTGCTCTTGTTTGCATCACTCGTACGGACCGAAACTTCTGGCTTTCTTAACTCCGTCAACAATGCTAATCGTTTGTTTTTCTGCAATTGCACCTTATTATCAAAATACAAAAGATAGGAGGACAAAATAGCACCTGATCGCTTTTCATTGCAAGTTGCTTGGCGGCTCGATAAATACCCCAATAGAGATATAACATAACAAACAGGGTGGACCAATAATATGAAATGTACATTCCCATATTCAAATAAGCGTTAGTCATAAATTGCACATAGCATTCGTGATCTTGTAGAATTCTGCCTTTGCCTGGAAACAGTTTTCCTAGCAACTAAGAAAGGACTAACATCTGTTTTTCTTCTATTGGCCTTTCTTCGAGCATTGTCCTCAGAGTATGACGTCATTTTGTATACTAGAGAACAAGATTTTCCGAAAAAAGTTTGGTTCCTGCTTCTCGCAAATCGCTTTTTCTATGTGGTCTTGCAAACACTGCTGCAACTTTCTGGAGCTGCTAAGAGCTTGTTACTATTCCAAACAAGCTCTTCAATAATCTCTTGACATGCGAAATTGTCTGATCTCTCCTCAAGCGTTTCTTTGTCCCAGGGGATAGATGTGGCGAAAAACTGCAGCCTGAAGAGCGATTGATCCGGGGTGTTCGACCGCGCTGGCTTTCGCCGTATACTTTGATGTGTCCCCATAGACGCTCAACCCATGAATTTTACTGCTGCTATGTATTTGATCAAAATCTAAGTGGATTGCAAGAGCTATGCTTTTGATGCTTTACAAATTTTGCAAATATTATCAACGAGCTAGAGTGAAGGCCATTGCAAACGTTTGCTTGTCAGAAACAACCTTGTTGACGGAGTTTGTGTTTCCATCAAAATGTCGGATGAACAATTTTCGTCTTACCTTGATTATGTGATTGTGAAAAGATACTACAAAGAATGATGATGAAAATTCTAATTTGTTTTCACCGCAATGTTCAATTTAGTTTTGCACTACGTGATCCTTTCGATCAGAAAACGTTTCAAAGAAGCAACTTTAATGACTTTAGAATTTCTCGTCATTGCGAAAGATTAGAATTCTGGTAAGTGACGTACGACATTTTATTGAAATGATACAAACTTTTCAGCTTTATCATGGTTATTTTATCACTATATGTATAGATTGATTTTATCCCCGTAAATGCAGTCACACTAGAGTGAATAAATTAGCAAACTCAAGCTCAAAGGTGTAATCTTAGATAAAGCTAGTTATGATTTGTAACTATTCGAAAGCAAATCAAATTCGAAAATAACGGAGGTTTTAACTCACCCGTAAATGTTCCATACCCGAATATTGACAGTGTAAATAATATACTTGGAATCTAAAAAAACGATTCATGAAATTTGTAAAAACATTACGCTGGCTTTGTGATTTTGATTTTGTGCCAAAGAGATTTTACGGTGGACCTTTATTGCCTAACGTTTCGACTAGCATGGTCTTCTTCGGAGGCCTGAAAGAGAATGCAGTTTTGTGTTCGTCAGTCTATACGACCAAACGCCTCTTCTAACTTGCGGCGTAGACCTTGTCTAGGTACAACGTAATGGAAGACAATCTGAAGTGGAGTCACCAACCTTTATAAAGCTTATACGAGAAACCCCGCGCAGTGGCTGGCTTTTTTTTCTGAACACACAGGTGAATTTATCTGACGGTACAGTTCGAATCAAATGGCACAGAAAAAAAGCTCCAAAAACATCCTTGTCCACGCCACGTCAGCGCATCCAACAGCTTTGAAGCGTTCCGTTGTACATAACATGTACAAAACAGCTGCAAAAGTCTGTACGGGCGAGAGCGAACGATTAGAGTCACTACAACTAGCACGCAAAATTGCTCGCAGCAATGGATACACAGCGCAATCACTGCAAAGACCATCTAGATACGTAAACGAGTCTATGCGAAGCAACGCAACAAAATTCCCCTTTGCATGCCTTTTGTATCCGACGTTACATTTGGTCATTGAACGATGCAAAGCACGAACACAGTTACAGAACGAAGTAATGCTGGTCAACATTCCTAGCAATACTATCAGAAAGCGTTGATTAGAAATAGATTGTATGACTGTATATCTGGAAACTGTATCGTCTGCCCATACGGGAAGTTAGGTGATTGTGCAAAGCAGGGTATTGTTTACCAGCTAGAGTGCTTAAGTTGTGGAACAACTTACATAGGGGAGACCGGAAGGACACTAAGTATTAGATTGAAAAAACCTCTGGCCAGCAAAAGAGGGGGTACAATGTCATCACATTAGGAAAACATAGAGTTGAGACACATAAAAGTGACGATTTCAACTAAAATGCACGATATTAGCGTATGAGACTGAAATTTCGGCAAAAAAGACATTAGGGGCAGCATTATCCGATAGAAATCCGGAGATGAATAATAAAACTGAATGCTTGACAATGACCAGCGACCTCCTGCCCTTCATGTAATTACGTCATCTATAACCGCAAACTGTATACATAGCTTTGACTCACTGAGCACCCCTCAGTGATGTCAGTCGTGCGGACTAATAACTCTACGGTGGACTGAAGGTTGGTGACTCCACTTCAGATTGCTTTCCAGTACGTTGTACCTAGACAAAGTCTAAATGCTTCCAGTACGTTGTACCTAGACAAAGTCTAAATGCCGCAGGTTAGAAGAGGCGTTTGGTCGTATAGACTGACGAATACAAAACTGCAATCCCTTTCAGGCCTCCGAAGAAGACGATACTTGTCGAAACGTTAGGCAATAAAGGTCCACCATAAAAACCGCTCTGGCACAAAATCAAAATCACAAAGTCAACTAAATATGGAGGTTTAAAGAAGAGAGCACATGGAAACTATTCAGCTGGCTACTTAATAATTCGTTTGTACAGGAATACGAAGTAAAAATATAACTATACTTTACTACAAACTCACAATCCATATAACGGCAATGATTAACATCACCCGTTGTGATGTACGCCAGTTACGATACGTAGCCGGATGCTTCACAGAACAGTACCTACATGAAGAATTTATTTGATACCATGAATTAAAATTACACTTACCTATCTACGGTGATACCAAGCACCGTATAAATGGAAGCAAGACAGACGGTGTAGTCGATTGACAGCCATAGATCGCAAAGAAAACTGCCAAATGACCAGTGCTGATTGTGCAGAAAAAAATGTGTATAGACGGGAATGCCTTCCAAGCCGATTATCTAAACATGATCATCAAAAAGTGCTGATAACAGGTATGTAATCATAGCTTCACCATATATGAGTGAGACAGTTTAGAAGTGGGAATTTGAAATCTTGATTCAAGAATAATATTAACCAGATACGACAACTATCCTTTTACAAACAGCGTAAAAAATCAGTGGCTAAAAAATTGAAGTCACATCTGATAACTATAATTTGAGTTTAAAACACACATGCATTCATTTAGTCAAAATGCACTTTGAAAAAAAACGTTCTCATGCATTTTATTTTATTTGCTCATCTGATTTTGAGAGCTTATATTTTAGTAATGTATACGTAACTTATAAGTTCCCTTCTTCGTAGCACCCTATTATTTCCTGAAATCCGCTAAAGGAAACGATATGCATTTTATATGTCTCACTCCGCTCGAAGGAAGTAAACAAATTAAGAGCGAAATAATCGTTTTCCTACGAGCTAATCCTATATGTATCTCGTCGTAAAGATTGGTAGAACACGTTATTAGCTCATATGGAAAGCGCAAGAACTTCATGCTTGTTGGTAATTATTCTGTGCTCTGTAATGACACTGTACAGATATAATTAAAGCTGCAAAATGAATTTGTGAGAGCCTGTACTTTACAGATCTGTGTGCGATCGCGCAGACTAAGCTAAAATCATATGAGCGCGCTAACAGTTCTACGAGATAAAGAGACTGAATATATATGAATGAAACTTTTCATTCGATAGTCAAAAACAATCAAAGACGTTTTTATTTCAAAAGTAAAGAATCTCCCATGAAATTGGTATTGTATGAGTAAAGTCTCAGTTAATCATTCACACATATGTTGATAATCTCTCCAATATGATACCCGTTATGCATACAAGCTCCTTCTGGAAGCAAAGTACATTGCAAAAGACGGTCTTAATCCTTTTAAGTCTAATCTTCAAAAGAAGCGCTAAGACACTATGCATAATTTATTTTGATGTTCCAGAAAGAAAATGAGATTTCAACCAAGAGCTAATTGTACAAGACAAGATGCGATTTCTCTTCCGATCAGAGTAACGTAAAGAGCAGAATTTCGCTTGTCAGAGGAGAATACACACATTGATAAGTTGCTCTGATCAAACTCAAAGCAAAATTTGCGTTCCTCTTTTTGGACAGGTGTTCCAATTTTATTTGAACTTCATCGTAGAAACATCGATCTCATTTATACAAACTATCTTGAATTTCAAATCTCTTTGCTCTCAGATTGGAGTTGGGAACGGTTTTGACTTTTCTACAAGTAACTTTTAATTGTGTAGTATCACCCAAGGATTAAAATCATCTACTTGAATTTTGTACTTTTAAAAAAGGCGTAGAAGTACCGATCTCACGTTATGCTCTGTGATGAGACACATCCAATCACCCCTCAACGGTGACTCTTTCGATCCCAAAAGCACATTCTCTGCTTTTCCCACCCCTTACAACAATAGAAAGCTCAGTGCACGTTCTCACAACAATGTTGCCCCAGCGAAACAAAGCTTCATGAACCTATTCATGTGGTGCAGCTCGTTCGAATTGCCAAAACAAACGGATTACTGGGAGAACAACACCCGGTTGCATTAGTGCAAGCGTTTCGTAAATCATATTTGCTTTAGATAGATTCATCTTTCTGCCTGCACGTAGTCTCACGATTAAGTGGTATGTAAAGTTCAGTTAGCTCAGAAGTACCAGAGTTCCTCTGAAACTCTTTAATCTTCATAATGTGGTCGTGGTCTGCCTCTACCAAAAAGCATCAACTTAGCCTGAACGCAAGTGCAACCATGACAGGGATCTCTGTGTTGATTCTTTGTATAATCTTGCTTGTATCGGAAAACGGGCTAGAGAACTAGAGCTATAAAATAGTGCTCAATGCAAAGCCAACATTCGAGCACCCTAACTTCGGATCTATGCAAGAAAGACATTTTAGATCAAGCAGGATCTTCAACTGTTGTTGATGCACAAGCGCAGTTGAAGCACCCATCCGTATCCAAGCTCGATCCGATCCGAATCGAGCCCGGATCACAAATGGTTATATAGCTACATGCTAGCTACTCATCTTTCACGACTTTTTTTTTTGAATTTCCTCCTTTGGCAGATGACTATGTGCTCTGATTCTTGTCATAAATTGCTTTTTAGCGTAAGCAAAAATCTAATAAACTGGTGAGAAATAATCAGCTATCATACAGTTGTACTCAGACAGGCACTTCTAATATATAGAACATGCTCGTTGACGAGCGCAGTTGATTGGCTGTCTTGAATTTAGAAATTGTTGACTCCGAAGCGAGAGATGGCGATGCGAAGCTTATGTTACCGGACTGAGGTGACTATTGCGTCTTTTTTGTACAAATTAGCGATTTTATCTTAGTTTGCGGAGTACATGAGCTGAAAACGCATAATTAGAGTGGTATTTGAGATATTTTCCAGCACGGTAAAGGTAATACCACGATCGTTGAATTGCTATTCTGTTACGTTGTAAGATGCCAAACCATAACGACGCTAGGAAGAACGCAGCTTTTCTTAGACTTTTCTTAGAACAATGATACAAACATGTTGCAGTGGTCTCATCTCTTTCGGTTTTGAGCGAACTTATTTCTGTGACACCTGCTTCGAGTTCAACAAGCTTACAATATGCCTTGCGTATGACACCAATCGCATATCACATAGTTAAGAATGTCAGTATGAGCCTTACTCAGAGTAACATATGTTCCCCATCTCCTTCGCTCTTCTTCTTTGCTTCTCAACCTCACAGCTGTATTTCGCAAAAAATGTCCATTCCGTTGTCAAAATAGCTACGTTACATGTTTGCTGATGTGCTCGTTACGACCAACCGAGCGCAAAAATATATCGACAAGATTTAGCAGAGCTGCAGTAACTCGCACACATCATTCGCGCTCATCAGCACACAGCTCATCAACGTAATCAGATTGCCCAAAAATTGAAACATCCACGAAAACTAGCTCGAAACATGCAGTAAACAATAAGGGCAGGTTGCTTGCAAAATGAGCAACATAAGGAAGCATAGAAGCAAGAAAGGGGTAAAGAAGTGGTGGAAAAGAATGTTAGGAAAATAGCCTGTGGTAGCAATGATTATTTTTATGGTAATTTACTACACCTTGTTGTACTTGGAAATGATGTTATTATCGAGTCATTTGTAAATTAATACGCATATTGCACACTATACGACGCTCTTATCAGTAACTCCTCCTCGGTAAAACCTTTTCTACGTGCTACTAGACTTCTTTTAAGATCAGAACCTGTTCATTCCCAGCAACTTTTCCTTGTTTCTTTGTATTTGAGTTTTGATTGAGGATGTAATAGCCAGTGAAACACATTTTTACGATTTGTTACGCTAGAAAAGGTTTTACTGAGGAGTTACCGGTAAGAGTGTCGTCAGTGGCCGCGTATAATGTGCAGACTCACATATCAAGTTACAAATCATCCGTAGATAAATACATATAACACTAACGAAGACACATGAAAATATAAAATAATCACTCTTTCATGGGCAACTAAATTTCTTTGGTCTATGGGCGCAAGAAGGAAACATTGAAAGAGCCTTTGCTTCTTTAACCATTTGAGAATTCGCAGTAAGTTCATCCTGCTAGCAAGAATTATTCGCGAAATTTGAATTCTTGTGTAGGTTTCAGACCCTAACCATGATGCTGCCACTGACCTTATTACTATGCATATGACACAAAAAGCTGATTTCTGATGCCAGTGAGCTAGTCATTGAGATTTGGTATATAAGGAAAGCTATCTGTCTAATCTTTCAATCCATATCCTATATACGATTAGCGTACTCTTATACACTTGCAAAAATACTGCGGAATTCCTTCATCTGTTCTCACATATTTCCCTCATCTAGTGCTCCTACCGTATTAATGGCCTCTAGCATTGGATTATCCCTATAAACGATGGTGCCCTGCACTTCTCAGAGCATGACAACAGAGTAATTTCCTGTCAATTTTTTGTAGTTTCTATGCTAAATAATCTATGCAAATGTCGCTAACAATCGATTCACTTAGTCTGAAGCAGCGCACTTTGCATCTATGCCTCTATGTAATAAGCTTAACTTCACCTATATGAGCTCGCAGTTGGCAAAGCTTGTTATTCAGCAGATTAGGTGAAGCCAGCGAGATGCATTTACATTTTAGTGGTTTGGGACGGGTACAAAATAAGTGCAACGGAATTTTTACTTCCGTGAACGTGAGAAAATACAGTCGCATGATTTTACATATCTTGAAAGAGTGCACCAAAATCGCCATCATGGGGTTGAAAGTGAGAAATCCCGGTAAAAAGATCCAATGTTCTCTGAGAGTGGAGGCACCTTGTTTGCGTTGAGCTGCTGATTTAAAATCGTAGATGAAGGACGAATAACGTTCATCAAAAAATGAAATCACAACTTGACAATTTAGTTCAGCTCAGGTCATCTAATACAGTTGTAGAATACTGGGTATGCATCCCAATTAAATGTTATACCACAGTTAAGGTTTAGCAGTTTTATCATATTTCAGACTTGTGCTGCACATGGTGCATCACACAAATTCAAATTACTTGCACTTCCCTACAAAGACAATATGTGCTGCCTAAGAACTGTCCTCAAATTTAGAGGGAGTATATATCGCTACTATTTACATCAAATGCACTCCTTTCATGGCATTACCCCTCTCGTGCGGCAGTCCTTTCAAGAACTCTGCTCAGAAACTCTAGTGATAAATCTTCTTCTTTATGCACCCCCACTGATCCTTCTCTTTCGTTTAAAATGATGGTTGAGAGCCGCAGGCGAACCCACGCCGAACTTATTCACAGCCATCCATCTTGCGCGATCTTATAAGCCATCCATTCTTTTGCCAAAGATTTTTCAGCGTTCCAAGCTTTCTGTTTTGCTGCCCCCAGAGGACCAAAAAGAATGAAGTAAAAAGTTTAGACATCGACGAACACATAGCAAACTAATATTGTTGAAAGCTAGATGTTCGATAACTGTTATTCTGAATGTGTATTACATGAATGTCATGCCGAAAATAAATCTTTATGTGGAAGGTGAAGCAGTAGCACTTGTTTACTGTAACAAAATGGCACAGAGTGCTCAGAAAAAAAGAGGGAGAAAGAGAATGATGGCGGGAATCATGAGGCATTCTCAGTCAGAGGACTTCATACAAATGCTTAGCTGTTTCTTACATAAGTAATTAGATCTGGTATGCTTGGTTAACACCCTGGAAAATCGCGTATCATACATCTCGCCAAACATAGTCCAACCTAATGTCATGTACAGAGCAAAGCTCATTTTGCATTTCAAAGAGCTAGATCATGACATCCGAGGATTTGTTCCCAATGTTGTGTGATAGAGTTAATTTAGAACATTGTAAAAAATATTTTATTCGATAGTACTTAGCCCTTGAAGCCCGTAGAACCAATCCATTTTTGAACAAGACTGCTCAAAGATGCCGAAATGTATGTTGACAACAGCCTTACTTCCTTTGAACTGTGATCGCTGTGCAGCGGAAGTAATTGACCCTACTCTAGCTGCTTTCTGAAGTTTTGCACAACTAATGGATTTCTTTCCATAATCGTGCATAGTCGGATGCGTGCGGAGTGTTTGTTTTTTTTCCGCTCTTCTAAATGGCTTCTTTTGTTTAGTAAAGACCCTATTGCTCCAGGAGAGGTATATCGCTGTAAAAATGCAAAGTTTGACTCATATGTTATTTAACGGAAGGCAGAGAAAGGGGAAGCAACCTATTCTATAAGAAGGCAAATTCTTCAATGAGAAAAAGAATCAGAGTGCGCAAACTAGACCGTACTTTCTTACCAAGGAAGTATATGAACAACCACAACCTTGTAACACGGACTTCTGGCTGATTTGCCTCCTAAAGTTGCAGAGCTCTAGAAGATTCCAAGAATTCCGCAAACGGATTTTTGCATAAAGTTTCTTAGTAGCTTACAAATAATCACGAATACATTCCTTAAAAACATTTTCCTCCCCGAAAAAAATTCATTTGTTTCGACAGTTCAAACTATCAAAATCGAGAATACCGTAAAAGACTTATTAGTATCAGCACCTCGATACTGCATTACACACCATATTTAACCATATTTACAGACCTTCACAGGCTGCGATCGTCTTAATTTGCTGATATCTCACCTAATCTCTCTCCAAAGCTTCACGTTGGCAGTGAAGGTTAGCATATTAGCACATTCCAGCATCCCTTATGCTGATATCGAAGCCGTCTCGGATATATTTCCGATGGCGACCCTCACCCTCGCGATTAACATTTTATGAATTCGGCTGCCCGAATGCGCACTGAGGTAAAGGCTGCTGCACCTAATTGCCTTTATTTCTCCGAGAACGATTAGTTCGAGGAAGCAGCTAAGCACCGCACGAAGATGCGGTGACGCAGCTTCACTTAAGGCCCATATTTATAAAGATGTATTTGACTGCATTGACACTACGTCATGATGGTGTCATTTCATATAATTTGATATGACACTGCTATCTCATGCGTACACGCAAAGAAAAATTAGCGTTTGGCCAGTATATTAACAAAAAGCTGGAAATTTGTCCTTTGCATTTAGCGGTTTTATCGGCTTTTTTTACAATCTTGAGCTGGAGTATTGGGGATTGTCACATAAGGACGCTAACCAACCTTATGTGATCCACGTGCAACATCAGTTACAAGCATAAACTGGTAACAGTCTTCGATCATCACGTTCTGTGCTTGTAAGCATCGCACTTGTGTAAAAGTCTTACCCATGCACCTCATTTTCCCAAATTTTTGCCTTGTGGCTCCCTTGTGCAAGCTCAATTTCAACTAGTTCCCGGGTTATGCGCATCAACAGGGCAAGATAACCGCGCTATTACTGAACAAGGGCCCTCAGGGATTTGGCGCTGGCACGGGGTGAAGTGCCAAATCAACGCGACGGCGCGCAATGCGGAATGCGCATAGACGCATAACCATTGCCCCTGAAGTGTTGGAAAAGGAAGCAAAAAATGAGAGCGGCCGAATTCCGGCGAGACTTCGCCATCATCAATAATACCACATAAATAACATGGCTTGCTAGAGCATCCATATAGAAAAGTTAGCATTTTTAGCAGTAATTCATTTAGTCATCGTTTGAAGAGGGTACCTAGACTTATATGCAAATACCGAGTGAGACGCTGACTAAACCATCGCCCAAACGAAAGCTCATAGGATTCATTCGTGGTAAAAAAAACTAGCCTCAAACTCTCGCCCAGTACCGTAATCAATCCCAAAATCATCGCTCAAACGATCGATATGACCGATGGCTACACTTTTTCTAAGCGGGTTCGGATAGAGTTTAGGAGACCCACAAGAAATGCCAAAATTTCATAATCATGGTGGGATTTCTCAGAAAGTTGTCTATGTCTTGCTTTCTCAAAATTCTGTAATCTTCGAGCTACTCCCATGACAGCAAATATATCGGCACTTTTTTGATTGATTCCAGAATAGAAAAAGGGCGTGAAGGATAGGAAAGATCCAAATCGAAGCTGACTAATAAAAAGCAGCTTGGTTAGCCATAGGGCCACCAGCATAAAGTTTACAAATACTCTGTTCTTATCACACGCAAGTTGATAGCCAAGTGGTGTGAGCATTTCTAGTTCTCGTATTTGTCTGAGCTTGTACACAAACAATTTTTACGGAGCAAGTTTTCTCAATTTTTTGTTCACAAAAATTCGCAATTAGTAGATTATTGAAACGACAAACTCCAACACATTTGACATATCATCAATTTAACCCCTGCCTAATCCAGCTTCATGCTTCGCAGATTCTAACCATGATGCTGATGCATTTTATGATGTTTTTTGAGCAGTCTCACGAGTCTGCAAGAAAAAGTTGAGCAAAGCTGCGTGAAGTCTGGCTTGTAGGAGAACATGCGAGTTTTTGAAGTGTGTGAATTTGATTAGCTTCAAAAGTGCATGAGGGCGGAAATTTACATTCAACATCAGCGCGGAAGTAGGCTGTTCTTCAAAACGCACCTATCTGTTTTTATGGACTAAGCAAACTTGCTAAAAAATGGTTACTGAAAACTTCCTTAGTGTCCAAATGGCTTCTAAATCAACCGCCTAACCAGAAGCTATGATCTTGCTTACTTTGATTTTCAGTAAAAAGCCTCCTTGATTTTTTGGTGTTTCAGTTTGTAAATGATTGGTATCACTTTTTTTCAACCATATTAGTCAGTACATCATTTTTTGAATGTCAATTTATCCGTAGCAGGTGAAAGTTTGGAAGCAAAGACAAGACAAGTCCGCTCGGTCAAGGCCAAAAGCACATAAGTTTATCACAAGTTCTGTGCTATGCGAAAAACTTTCAGAAAAAATATTAATCTGAAAGTTCATTTCCAGTTTTCAATCAGATTAAAACTTTCATTATGAGGCTCAAAACCTTTCCTCAGTTAATAGCGATTATGCGCAGCACATAATCCAAGGCACATTAAAGCACAACCTTACATCAAAATAATGCCAATTCGATTGAGAAGCGAAAAAAGAAAGAAGTATGGAAAAGTCCATAATGTCAGGATTTATTTTCTTAAGCTAACGAAAGCCATTTAGCCATTCTCCCCAAGAAAGTCGATTCACATATCCGAATTCCCTTTCTTTTCTCCATAAATTATGCTCACGGCCATCTCCCTTTATGGTGCTTTCGAATGTTATATGGCAAAAAAGTTTGCTAGCGACGATATCTCGTCATATTTTCAATATCTCGCGTCAATGGTCAGTAATGGGATTGCCTTACATATCTGGAAACGCTTATCAGGTGGATATGACAAGCGATAAACTGGGAAAAAATCGTGTTTACGTCATCGTAATTCTTCAAAAGGCTACAATCCATGTTAAGCAGAGGCATATGATCGCAAAGCCGTGTTGTAAGGTGTTGACATATTTTCGTCATTTGTTGATCGTACTTTGTTGACGTCTGCATCATTTTGCTTGGAAAAAGATTAGGAATATGACCTTCACTAGAATTTGCAGCTTCAGCTACGCATATGGAAGGTAGTATTTCGATTTTGAGTGATTTGAACACCAAAATACTCTTTACTAGTATTCCTACCACCCAAAATAATGCGTTCGTACCGCTAAAGCCAAATTCTCCGACTTGTATCATTACCCATGTCAACTCCCCAAAACGAACGATGTTGCTTTGGGCTCCGAGAAAAAAACGAAGTTCTAGTGCGCAGCGCTCATGGCGCTCTGCATTCGGTTCATTTATGATAATCGAGTTTCGTCGTCACCACCAGCATTTGCCCGCTCTCGTTTGCCAGCGTTGTGCCTTATCGCCAACGGCTACCTCGGCATGTTTTTCAGCTGCATATGAATGTTGCTGATTGACATCTATAGCAATAGGTTGCTAAAAGACAGGCAAATGCTGGCAATTGGTCATTTTTTAGGCCTATCATGTGCAATAGTAGCATCTACGCCTATTCCACAGCTCATTTGCTCGCCTTGTTCGTAAAGCAGAGTAGAAACGAATGTGAACGAACGCAGAATGTGATGCGAGTCAAGCAAACAAATATATAGCAAAAACAGTTAGTGCGAGCTCGGCCCAGCTGGCACCGGTTCAAGCTGGATATCGTTTTTGGGACAAAAAGCAATGGGGATATCGTTTTTGTGGCAGAAAAGAACGAAAACTGCGGCTTTTTTTTTGGTCGACGTTTCGTTTTTTTTCGAGGTTTATTACGTTAAGGGTTTAGAGTAAAAGGTTAATGAAAGTCAAGAATGACCCGTTTCAAAAATTTCACTGGTGCCAGCTCCTGCCGAGCCCTGGTTTGGCAGGAGCTGGCACTATAGCGTACGGCATTGAATTTCCTCGATTTCGAATTCCCCTGTAATTTTCCAATTCACACTGATTGTAAGAAAGTTGTAAAAAGAAAATTTTTCTAGCACCAAGGAAATAAATCATAGAAGAACTTCAATAAGTTTATAGAAGCCAAAATGTTACAACTGATTGACCAAAATCTCAGGTTATCGTCTACCAAAACTTGCGGATTCTCTTGGAAAACAAACTGCCAGGGAATCATTCTCAAAAATTTGTTTAAATTTTGAGAATGATTCCCTGGCAAAGAACCTACAGTTCTTAAAAGCTATTATGCTTTGTAATTCTCTCTGTCCATCCATCTGACCTTTCACTGTCCCTGATGGTGAATTTACAATTTTTTTGAGCTAAAAAATCGTGTTAAACGCTTACGAAAATCACTTACGACATACACCCCTTCGCTATCCTAGCATGAGCAGATTAGCTGAAACCCGAGACAAGTTCCTCATACAAGTTTAGCTCCCCGATAGTTCTCGTGCTTCCACTTAGGAATTAATAGATAAGGCTTGCTTTTACGGATAAGCTCTGGTTCTTTTTCTAGAAGCTCGTCACGCGACAGAAGATGCAATAGTGTGGAACATCTTTGGTTTTTCGTAGTCTGTAGCAGAAAGTTTCTCCTACGCTCGACGTGAAAATGCCGTAAGCATAGAAAAAAAGAAGCGCATTAAACCGTACTATGAAACAAAAATATCGATGTTACGCATTTAGGAGATCCCTCCTCCACTGGCTTGCTTTACCATCAACAAGATCAGCTTAGACCTCTTGAGGACACACTCATCATGCTAGTATTCACGCTAGCGATTTGATTACACCAATGATTGCTGTAGATGTTGTGGGTAAGCGCCGTCCTCTCGACCTTTATGCGTTCAATCAAGAAATTTTATTTGAGTAGGCATCTCTTTAAGTGCAATTCAATTGATAGTTCGTTGAAAACCAAGTAACATTGCAGAGCTATCAACTTGGAGTGAATCAGAAGAGTGAAAATATGTTGTTGACACTATCTGCATTTTCCTTCTTGTATTAAAATTTAGAAAAGAAAGTACAAAAATATAAGCCTCTGTATTGATGCTGTTTTGAAAAGTAGAATGTTGATACATAAATGCAGAGGCGACAAAAAAAGAGATATGTTGCCCACATGTCATTATCGTTAGTGATAGAGTAGGTATAAGCAGTTCCGCTAGGAATCAAAAATTATATTATAACTAGCGGCCCTACGGGCCGCTGTAAGTGGGTCGGGGCAGATACATTAGTATTTGCTTAGTTGGGACGGCATCTAAGTACAAAGGGGTTCACATCTCCTCTCTAATGAAAAATCAAAATTCGCAGTAGGCACAAAAATGTCTGATCTTTCCTTCCAAATGCCACCACCAGAATTAAATTATTTAATACAGCTTGCTTCTTTCGTTGCTTAGTTAAAATCAAAATAATCCTAAAAGGATGACCAATGCAGATGCATGCTGGGCTCTCCGGGAGCAAAGCCATTTCCTATAGCTGAAATTCTGTCGAAATCGAGGTTTTTACCCTCTTTTGTGGAAATTGCGGGGAAAAGGAAAACTTTTCGCTCCAAAAACTGGCGAGCCACAGAGAAAGCCTGCCGGAGCTCAACCAGCGAGACCACAGCTTCTATGCTGGGTCTTTTTTCCGGGGGCAAAGGCATTTTCTGTGGCTGAAATTCTGTCGAAATCGATGTTTTTACCCTCTTTTGTGGAAATTGCGGGGAAAAAGAAAACTTTCCGCTCCAAAAACTGGCGAGCCACAGAGAAAGCCTGCCGGAGCTCAACCAGCGAGATCACAGCTTCTACACTGGGTCTTTTTTCTGGGGGCAAAGGCATTTTCTGTGGCTGAAATTCTGTCGAAATCGATGTTTTTACCCTCTTTTGTGGAAATTGCGGGGAAAAAAAGACTTTCCGCTCCAAAAACTG